GGAAAGGCAATAGTCTCAATTTATCTTATATGAAAGCTTGGGGCCATGACGCTTATTTGAAGCGCCTTGAATCGGATAAGTTTAACACTAAATCTGATAAATACATATTTGTGGGGATATTCAAAAGAGACATTTGAATATAAATTCTATTATCATGAAGAAAGTTTTCGTCTCACGACATCTCGTCTTTTTAGAGAAAATGTTTACCCTGGGGGAGGACAGTAGGAGCAAAATAGAATTTGAAAGAGTTCAAGAGTTCACGGATATAGTTGACCAAGTAGATAAATCCAAGTTTGATCTCATATCTGATATGGGACATACTCTTGATCAGGAAGTAAAGACTCTTGAGGACATGTCAGCTCTATGTGAATCTAGTAGGATTATTCGACCTTCAAGAAGGTGCGAATCCATTATTACTAATCAGGTATTACTGATCGAGGATAATGAACCTGCTAGTTGCACCAAAATAGAGTCAAGTGTTGGCTTAAAAAAGACAGCAAGAGGCCATGAAACTTGAGATGAACTCGATGTGAACAATGTTTGGACCTTGGTCAAGCCTCCTGATAGAATAAAACCCATAGGTTTTTGTAAATAGTTTACAAGGAAAATGACGATATGGATGAGAATATCCATATATACAAAGTAAGGCTAGAAGTAAAGGTTAAGTGTTGACCTTGGTGAAACCTTTCTCCTGTAGCTTTGCTGAAATCCATTTGGGTTTTACTTGCAACAGTTGCATACCGTGACTATAGGTTAAGAGAAGTCTAAGTTCAAATGTTTGATTTTATCAAATTTGAAGACGAATTGTATGTTTACAAGAAGATAGTGGGAGCATTGTCGTATTCCTAATATTATAAAAAACGACGTCCCTATGTTTCAATCGTTGAAATAATGGTTGTTAAAGGATTGATTCATGAACGATATGGGAGAAGCAACTTGAGAAGCAACTTGATCCATAGAAGTTGATCTAGAAGATTGCTTAACTCATCCCAATTTACATAGATAAAATCTTGAGAAGATTTCATATGGAGAAATTGGTTTACTCTTAAGCGATATGTTGGAAAGTTCCAAACGTGAAGCAACCGTTGATTAAATAGTAGAAACCTAATACATGATTACTTCAGAAATAACAAAGAGTTGTAATCTGGATCATAATGTTCATAAATGAACTTGGAGTAGTTCCTGATATTGTTGATTACATGCCATTGTATTGTGATAACAACAGAGCCATTGCGAAAGCAAAGGAACTAAGGTCTCATCAATGATCCAAACATGTATTAAGGCGATATAATCTCATCAGAGAGATAATACATATAAATGACGTAAAGAGAAGAACAAATTCCCACATTTAACAATATTGCAGATCCACTGACAAAGAGTTGTCGTAGCGCAAACATGATCGTTATGTAAACTTATGATATTGGATACATAAGTGATTGGATCTAGTGCAAGTGGGAGTTTGTAAGTATTATGCTCTAAATCCAATCAACTTTGGACATAAATGCTTTTGATATATAATTAATGCAATTTAATGGCAGATCTATTATTTAATTAATGAATAATGCTTCTCAACCAGGTATAAAAACAGGGATTTGAAATTTGCTGAGGTGGCAACTTTGCACAGTAAAAAAAAGGGTAAAACACTTAAAAAGAAAGAAGACTGGCTGAAGAGTTTACAGAAGCGAGAAAGCCAGAAAAAAGGTTCGAAACCCTCCC